TCTGAGATACAGAACGTGTCCCAGATAGAGACTCGGATTCAGATGTTCATTTCATGAGTCTGTGAACTACTAAGTCTGTGATTAAATATTGATTGTTGGCCCGGGTAAGAAATTGTTATTCTGTAGAACATTTGAGTTTGACTGTAGGCTCGCTGCAGGTTTCACCACGTTGGTCGCTCGGTGTTACGCTCTTTCAGGGAAAATCAACTAAATGTGTTCTGGATGAAGCCCAAGTCAGAAGTAGTTGATTGTCTCATCCTTATGTCCCGACATGTCACGCATCATAGGGGATAAGTGGATGTTACGACCCAACTTGTCAGGGGTTAGTAAAGCAACATAAATCTAGATGTTGTTGGTTGAAATGTTTTTTTTTTATTCTGGAGGGTAAATTAATAATTCCTAAGAAGTTAATTAATTAACTAGAAGAGGGAAACAGGATGAGTGGATGCTGTTTAAATAAAACAAAATGTGTACAGAGCCAAAAGAAGAAGAATTACAAATATCTTACTAACTTAAAACAAAACTGAAAATCAGGTCCAACAGCAGAAAGACGGGACGCAAACCTTCAGATGTCTTCGTTCAATCGTTCAAGTTTTCAGCACATCCTGCAGAACATAACTCAGAGCAAGCCACCAGAGATAAATACATGAGGGAGAGGGGCGCGGCGGTAAAAACCAGGACAGAGAATCTGTTGCAACCTGGTCCCAAATCGGTGTTGGTACCAGAGCATTGATTTCTCCACGCTCAGTGATGCCGTTGTGTGTCTGTACACGTCTGTGGAGCTCGCAGTGCACTGTCACTAACTGATTCAGCCGCTGATACTGAGTGAATGTTACAGTCAGTAATGACTCATGATATAGTGGGGAGGGAGCTCGGAGATGGAATGTAGGAAAGAAACAACCGACCCCTGGGGGCTTGGAAAACATACTCAGGCTTAATCCTCAGCAGATAGACACACACACACACACACAGTTTGCCTCACACATCCCCCACCCCGCACTCCACCTTCAGTCCTGAGTAAACTCTTTGTGCTTCTTCTATAGTCAGCCAGTCAATGGGAAGTTTGGGCTGATGAAGTCAATATTTTTGGGGGTCGTCCGTTGTGATGAGTCGACAGACAATTACCACCTGACTCATTTGGTTCGTTATTGTTTTGGCTCACTCTCATCAGGGTCGTTCTCAGACGCAGCAGGCGGCCGATTCTAACAATGCAAGTTTAATTATAAACCTGCAATAACCTACAGTTCATCTGATGAACCTGTTGGAAAGCAGTTGCTTGTTTACACTTTCAGCCGATGCAGTGCAACATTCATTAGGAGCTGTGCTTGTGAGGAGATGTTAAAGGAAAATGAAAGTCCCATATTAACTTTACTTTTTAGTTCATTTCCGGTCTCACCAACGCCTGACCACAGACTGTAAATAAAGATGAGAACAATTAAATCGACATGTATTTTGATTTTTTAGTTTTGGTCCATGTCCCAGCTATTAACCTGGAGTGGATGATTTGGCTTCACTTTTGGGGAGCCATCACATCTCCCATCTTCACATACACAGTCTTTGCTCCTGACAGAAATTTTATTGGCTCTTTATTGGCTAAATTCACCAATGTTTACCAGTTTACTAGTTGCCAGCTTTGTCTCAGAGCACTGAGACTGAAGAAAATAATAAAATTGCCGGCCAGGAAACCAAAACAATTTGCCAAAAGACATTATTAAGCTCCAGAGTCTGATGAAAAATCACTGTGGTCGACTCGTTTCACATGCAAGTACTTTCTGCAGCTTTAAATGATAACACACGTCATGTATTTGGATTTTCTCCGCTTGATTGACTGCAACATTCCTCGTACAAATTTAATTCCCACTCATGATCTCAAAAAAAAAGTCTCATTTGCTTGTCAACATAAACTTTTTATTAACGCTGGATAAATATAGGCACTCCTCCGCTCAGTGATGGGGGGGGCTGTCATTGGTAACCTTTGCCCCCAGTTTAATAATAACCCGCCGAAAGAAAAGTCAGTTAATTAGAGAAATACCACAGAGGCACTCAGACAACCCATGCTGAGCCCACCACCCCTCTTAAATGTGTCCGACAGCCCTTTCCTCTACACATTTATGGGCCGTAAGCAGCTACACCAGAACCTGTGGGATTTTCTGCTCCATCGTTTTTCCATAACCGCCCATCCACAACTCAGACGTCTCAATCCCCGACTGTGCACTCACTGCTCGAAAGTGAAACCGGATAGTCGGCGCTGTGGCGTGAGCTCGAGCATCTTGTGGGTGGCAGCTTTGTCACTCAGGTCTTTTATTGTCTGAGCCAGTTTCAACTCATCAGATAATCGTCTTTCACAAGTTTTGTGTTTGAAGTTAAAATTCTTGCGGCGTGGGCTGTTTTTCCAATTGACGCCATGCCTGGATGGTGTGCCGACATTCAGGGATCGTTACATGATACATAAGACGCATCGGTTTTATGATCTATCACGTTGCACAAAATCACAGGCTTAATTAAGGAAACTCAAATTATATCCGTCCCTAAATGCTATGTTATTTAAATCCTTTGAACCAACTTCCCGCCGTTTGTCTACTGTACAGTCTGAGCTGGCTCAAAGCCTGGGAGGCATCCAGTCCACACACACAGAGGGCTTTCATTTATTCCCAGCACACACACACACACACACAAACACACACACACACACACATATAAATAGCCATAACCATAGTATGAGAAAATAACCATTTCACTCTCTCTCTCTGAAACCTATACAGAGCCTGTGCTTTTTCGCTGAGCCCCCTTTTTTTTTTTAGATTTGACGTAATCCTGGTTACCACGATACTGTAAACATAGAAGACATCAGCCAAACCGGTGACGCACGCGTATAATCTGACACAATTCTGATATTAAATCTTATGTCTCTATCTTCTTGACTTTTTTCTCTCTTTCTAAAATCCATCACACACACACACACACACACACACACACACACACACACACACACACAGCAGTTCCCATGAGGTTCTTAGCCATCAGATTTTGTCAGTGAACTGTTCATTGGGAAAGTATTTGGGTCAATCTGCTTTGCTTTTTATCTCAAGCCATACAGATATGTAGCAGTATGATTAATATTTCAGATCTATACAATCAGTGATGGTTGTGTTCAGAAGACTTAGTAACCTAAAAGGCAATCGTTGGATGGGGGAATTGATAGAGAAACAGAGGATTTGTTCGACTCTTCTCCACTAATGGTTCACATGTATATTTTTCTCTTTGCAACATGCCATGTGGTTGCAAAACAGAGCAGCAGAGAAAACATGGCGGCTCGTGTAAAATACCACAAATGGCTTTTCTATACTGGGACTCTGAGTGGCACAGGACCAGTTCACAGTCACTGTGTAAAACTACGCCCGAGGTCCAGTCCCTGTGGATTGTTGCTCTTTTATAACATGTTGACTGGACACGGCTGATCCTTTTGCTTACTGTAATCCATTTTCTGCCGTGTCGTCCGTAGGCACGCAATGGCGTCCCTGTGCGTTATATCACAAGTCCATTTCGCATGCTGCGGAAAAATTATTACACAAGTGTCACAGGCTCAGAGCTGGAAATAAGGTGACCTGTCCTCGGAGGTAATTAATTCGAAGACTTGGTTTATACGTTCATACGAGTCACCAAGAAACTCAAGAGACTCACTTTCTTTCAAGTCACTATCTGTAAAATCTTTCCTCCATAGTTCAAAGTAGTTTTTGTTCTTTCCACCAACACTGATTCATACTTTCTTGTATTTATTGTTATTGTACTCGCCTGGCAGTGATTTCAGATTTCTCTGAGTCAGACAAATGTTTGAAGCACTTTGTCAAAAGAGGAGAAATGTTTTGGCTTCATGAGATTGTGGACAAGAGGTTGATTTATTTTATTTTTTCAGGACAGAGGGTAGGAGCGAGAGAAGTGTCTGAAAGCTCTGATCTTTTCTTCCTTGCTGTTTCTCCCCCCGCAGCCAACTTCTGCTCCCTTTTTCTTCTCCTGTCACAGCCGATGTCTTCAGTGCAGCGGATCAGGACGGCTTGTGCCTCGGCTTCGCGCTCCCCTCCTCTTGCGCTCTGTAATTCTCTGTAAATTCCACCAGTGAGTGTGTTGTGTTTTGTGCGTGTGTGCGTTCCTGTCTCTGGTCGCCTGAACATCTGATCTCGGGAGCAGCCCAGGCTTTCTGAACTAGCGGGACTAGACACGGACAGAGAGAAAATATGAAGAAAGAGTGAAAATAGGAGGAGGAGGTAAAGCCACTGATTGTAACAGTGTGGCTCTGAGCGGTCGCTGATGACGTGAAGTGCGGCACACACATCTGGAACAGCTTGAGCAGCTGCACCTGAAGAGAAGGGCTCCTCCGCAAAGCCTCTGCCGGCACCTTCTCCCCCTTGTGCTCTTTCCCCCCCCCCAGTTTTTTCTCTCTTGCAGTCTCTAAATCTTTCTCTCTCTGCCTGCCGGAGTGCTGAGGAATGGTTACCCGCTGAGCATCAGCAAAGAAGAGCGAGTGAACCGGAGCGAAAGAGAAGAGAGGAGAGAGGAGGCACAAGAGGACAGTAACACGGGGAGGAATTACAAGGCACGAGGTCGCAGGAGAAGTTGACAACCATGTTATGAGTGTAAGTGAGGGAGAAAATTTGGGGGAAAAAGAGAGGGATGGAGGAGGAGAGAGTGTGAAATACAGGGGAAGAGAGGCAGAGGGGGGATTAAAAAGCTGGAATGCGCTGACACTGGAGACCTGAGTTTCTGTTTGCATTTGGCACAGCACCTCCTGCCACTCCACAGGTTTAGCCACATACACAACAGCACACACACACATCTTCTGTTTGCTTTGGAGAATGAGCTCAGGAGGCCACGCCAGGAGAAGAGAACACCTTCCAAGGAGCTGCTGACCCCACCTCCGCCTCCGCACCCGGAGCTCACCTCCCACCCGGCTTCTCAAAAGTGCCCTCCCTCCCTGTGGCCCTCTCAGCCTACCTGCACCAGTCACAACACGCTGGAGCCGGAGAGTCACTGAGCCACACTCACAGAGAGCTGAGAAACCCTGGATTGGCCACGGGACGCAGCTGCAGTCACGCTGGCTGAGAAAGACTGAGGAGCTCCGCTGATCCGCTGACCTGCAGGGATGTCCAGAGCCTCCAGGTTGGCCCGGCCCCCCTCAGCAGGGGCCGGGTCCAAGCTGCCCTCCCCCAGGAAGGAATGCCCCGGCACGGGCGCTGTGGCCGGCCGAGTCCGGGTGCTGAGCGTGGGGGAGAAGCTAATGAGGGCCGGTAACGACGGTATCCTGAACAGACAGAAGTCTTTAATGGTCGCTGTGCCTCAGGACAGAGCTCACACTCAGGCCCCCAACCAGAGGCCAGGTGAGAAGGGCGAAAACATGGAGATGCTCCCTCCCAAGAGCAGGATCAACCCACCCAAAGCCTCCGCTCAGCAGCAAGGCTCCGTCCACAGTAAGTCATGGAGCAAACTTCATATTCTGAACATCAGCTTCTCTCTAAGGATGTTTTGTTCCACTTTTTTTTTTACATGTGCACAAGAGAAACTCTGATTTGCCTTTTGTTTAGTGTTATTACAAAGGTGATTTGTTTGCACTGCCAATCCTTGTGGTCGTAGTTGGTGCCAATTGTCTTAAAACTGAAAAGTATGATATTCTTTGCCCATTTTTCCACTTAGCTTTTTCCTAATTGCTTCATCTTTGAGCTTATAGTTGTTTTTTAAAAACGGGATTAGCTTTTGCTGCTTGTTGTGCGTCTCCTCTACAGGTCATTGTGTTGCTCGCTGTAAGGATCCAGGTCTTCCTCACCTGGAATCCTTTCCCTGCAGCAGAGGATGGGATTCTGTCGTCAAGCATTTACCCTCGGGCCAAACATAGTGCTGTGTTAAAAAACTGTGTTAGGGGCACGTTGCTACAGGTTCCAATGAGAAAAGGAAATACGATCCAGGAAGTCCAGTTGAAGTAATATGTCCCATAGTTTAAATACCAAAACATGGCACAAGGGTTTCTAATAGGAGGTGTGAAATAGTATATTTCATCGGGAATGAAATTTTCAAGGTGTTCCATTAGGAATCCACTATTATACCTGTTTGATTATCTACCATAAAGCGTTGTCTGATGCTGCTGTGATTTGTTTTCTTCCTTTTTTTTTATGCTCTCATAAATCTGAATTGATCGAAATGGTCGCCGAAGCTTCGTCTTTTGACGCTGCGCCGTTTTTCTGTCCGAGATCGTTCGCGGTGGAGGGAGAATTGAATCCCTGCTCATGGGCTCTCTGCCACTATCCCACTGGCTCTGTCTCTGTGGGGTGCAGATTAAGAAATGGGTGCCGGGAGGTTAAGGGAAAGTACTCTTATCATTCCCCTTTTGGCCTTCTCACTGGATTCCCGACTCAGCGGGGGGCCGGCTCTCATGGTTTTGTCGGGTCACAGTGATCTCACGCTCGCACTTAAAGGCAACTCGACCAAGAGGTTGTAGATGAATGTGTATTCTCTGTGCTTGCACTAAATAGTGGATGTTGGAAGTGTATTTTTCTCTCCTCTGTTTGAAATGTCTCCTGTCAGTCACTCAAATCACTCTTGACTGTTCAGCATGTACTCCAACGCAGCTATAGGGGGGGTGTAACTGTGAGGGCGACGCAGGCAACAGGGCCGAGTCAAGTGAGGGAGTGACAGAAGGAGGTCAGGAATGCGAGCGGGGCATGCTGGGAAATCAACAGGTTCGCGAGCTGTGTCTGTGCCTGACTCCCTCTCCGCAGTAAAGACAGGTTATGGGTTATAAAGGGGGCAGGTTCGTACTGGAAACCAGATGCTCTTGTCTGTGCAGCTTCCAGCCTCTTCTCTCCACAAATAAACGGCCTCTCTGCAGAGATGATTCACTGCTAACGGGCGAGGGTCACTTCTCGTTCAGGTCATTTGGTCCTGAAAGCTGGAGTCAGCAAAACTTTGACACACACGGGACACAGAAAATGACCAATCCCTTCTTTTTTATTTTTACGTCTGTATCTTAACATCGTCTCTCACGATGCTCCCCTCCTTCCTCGCTCATCTCCTTCTCTTCGCCAACTTTCCTCATGCATCTTTGTTTTTCGTCTCTCTGACACCTTGTCCACTTTTGTTTCCCTTTCGGCGTCGCCCTCCTCCTCGTTCCTTTCTTTGCCGTCATGTTTTGACAGCATTTGAGTCCGTTGAGCAGCTGAAAGATGCCACCGTCGCCCACACACACAAACACACACACACACACACACACACACACACACACACACTCTTATAAAGACCATCAAAAAGAATAAATGAACTGTGTATCTTCTCTGCCTCGTTCGCCTCTGTCCTCGTGTGCTTTTTCAAGTGTGAGTCTGTCTTTGTAGAGAGCTGGGTGCATTTCTTGTTATGGACAGTAACTTTGAAGTTCCACGTTGAAAAGACAATGCTTCAGTCTCGTCTCTCTAGAAAGTAGCTTCACTATCGACTGATCCCTCCTCCCTTTGATACATAACACTTTATATTTACATGCCATGCCTGGGCTTTACTTTAGGGAACGGCTGTTTGCTTTATGACGCCATGCTTTGCTTAAATATTTGGATTTTTAAATAGGCCAGCGCAATTAAATCCTGTTTTATGCATGTTGATGGGCAACTCTTCATATTCCACATCCACATATGGCTTGTATTAAAGTATATGGGGGTGCTGAGACCATGCCAGTTCTCCGTCTCCTAAGCTGATGCCAGTTACAAGGCGTGACGGCAGCTGAAGCGCCGGCCCACAGGGTCAGACGGAGCTGATGCACACGGTGCTGGCAGACAATAAGTGTGTGTGACAGGTGACATTTCCACTGTGTGAAAGGTTCAGAGCTGACTGCTGCTCGCCAAAGGGCCCAATTTCAGCCCTAAAGAGTGGCAGCATCCACCGAAAGCGAAATCCGTTTGACATTTCCAGTCCAGGGAGGATATAATACGAGTCTCAAGAGCAGGTTCAAGTTCAGCTTCCCTCTGATACCGTTTGACGTTGCATCAAACCACTGGAGCATTTTTAGCTTATTCTCCGGAGCAGCTCTCATCTTGGACTTCTATGCTTTACTCATTATGATGTTCACCGCATGGCCCAAACATCACACCGCTGTGATTGTCAAACATCTCATTGCAAAATCATAACAACCGCTCTCCTTGTTGAGAGGGATTTCAAACCGGTTTACAACGTGACCGCAGCGATTTGTTTCCATGCAGCCACACATCCACTGCTGAAAGCTAAAAAACCAAAGAGATTCAGGTCAGGGGTCAGAGCTCTGTCGGGTCCGATTTATCTTCCGCTGTGCATGTGTTAGGTCTGCATGATAAATCATACAGAAATCATGACATGGAGTCACACCTCAGTGCGATCTCATTTCAAATTCACAACAATTCAGCTGCAGCGAAACAAAACAAGCGCTCCTTATAGATCCACATGGGAGAATCAATCAAATTTTTTTTTTACCGAATTGCACACACTGATAAATACCAGTCTATGACTTGTTCTTTGAGAAATCAACCAACAATTCGGAAAACGCCCCATCTCAAACCACAAGTAAAAAACCTGACACAGATTCACACCAAAATCGAATGTGTTCTTCCCTCACCCAAACCACATCCTCCCCCTTTTGTAGTAATCCTTCCTGTACTTTTTGCATAATCTTGCCTAACCAACAATCTCCTCGGTTGGAGATAGTACAGTATCTTATTTTGTAAACACCATCATGAAACTAACTGGACGAAACAAACCAGTCGATAAAAACATCTGGACTGGTAAACGTCTGGAAAGACTTTGGCTGATAAAAACCTCACCTCACTGTCGCTCTCCTATCAATCTTTACCATCTCCGAACCTCAGAACTATTTCCGTCTTTGTGTCTAAATCAGCTTGAAAGTATTTCACCTCTTCTATAACCATATGTGCTGTTTGAACCCTCGCTCCATCAGGCAAGGATTTGTTCTCGAGTTCCTCTTGAGATAAAGTCCCCGCTCTGATTTTCTTTTTTTTTTTTTTTTTTTTTGAGGGATGACCTCAGCTTTCGGTGATTGATAAGATGAGTCAATAAAAGCCGCAGGGGAGGATGTGGTTGGAGGGGGTTTCGTAATCTCGTCTGCGTTTCCCTCACTCATCCAAGACCCGGACACAAGCGCTTGTGTTGTGTCGCTTCTTGCCTGATGTGTTTTTGCAAGATCTGTTGCCACAGCAGTATCAGCGAGGTGCTTCAGCCTGTTTGTCAGAGGTTGTTAAATCAGTTTTTGCGTAAGTAACTCAATGTACATGTGTACTGCTGACGACAGCGTATGGATGTCAGCTACAAGCTTTTACACGTTCGCCGTCAGTTTCCCCTCAAACACACCGTTAATAATCCATGAATGGTTTGTATCCATGACACTTTTTTTTCTCACAGATGCTGCATTTGCGTCTTTAAAGAAAAAAGTTGAGCTGAATAGCTCAGTGTGATGGGAATGAGTTTTAGGATTGGGATGTGATCACCCGCTTCTTTGACACTGAAGCCAAGAGTGAGGGATTACATTAATTGCAGCCTCTCGTGACTCTTTAAACCCTCCAGTTGTCTCTGTGGGATATTCCTCTTTGACAACTATCAGGCGGGCGGCGAGTGTTATTAGGAATACAAAATGCTCTCCCTCCACATCAGTTGGCCCACAAAAATGGACATGTCGTATCAATTCACCAGAAATCCCTTTTAATGACCTTGTTATGTACACACAGGATCTGTCGTGAGGTTAGTGTTCTGCCAGAAAGGAATTTGAGCGAATGAGATCCAGTTACTATTCAGACTTTCTCTTCTTTTCTTTTTTGGTGACAAATTGTCGTCCATCAGCAGGGGGTTGATTATAAGCAAACCCCCCACTTTTACTCTGAAACGAGCAATCACAAAATTTCAGTCTATGGATTCATATGAGCTACTCACCACTTTGACGTGCGGCCGTCGTTCGTTGAGAGAGAAAATGTGTTCTGCACCAGACTTTTTCTGAAAATGGCCACATACAGAAAAATAGAACTTTTTGGGGGTTCACATAAGTGAAATGATCCATTTATGCCAGTTCTTATTCGAGCCGTTTTCAGATTTGAACGCAAACTCTGGAAAAAGTCCAGACAATGGAGTTTGTCTTTCACATATGGAGAGATTTTTTGGGTTAACAACAACAGGAAGCGTTCAGGTGAGGAGTGGTGTCTGGGTAGAGCAGCAGGAGGCAGAACGTGATGTATAAATTCTGCTGCGGAAATCACGTGTTCTTTCAGGTTAACATCTTCTTCTCACTTGATGTGAACACATTTTTCCTGCTCTACCCTCACGTTCGCTCACTCTGGGATTTTCTTGGTTAATTTACAAGGAGGCCAGCAGGTAAAAACTCCAGAGGACGTCTGAAGCCGCTGACTTGGACATAAGCGTTGTCCGGGGTTCACTTCATGTCTGAAAGCATCAGGTG